ATCGAAACAAGAGACTGCAATGTTTCACTAGAGCAACTTTACTTGGAGCAAAACTGGGTTGATTTGTTGGGTCAAAACAATCAAAACATCACCTACAAAACAGAAGTGGTATTGACTATTCCAATTTAAAGTAATTGAGCAAAAAAAATAGTCCTCTGGTGCTCTTAATGCACTCGTCTGCACAAAGTCAGTGCCACTTAAGTATTTTGTGAGCTCTAGTTAACTTTACCTGGAGTGGCGTAAGCTGTCCTTCTTGTTTTTAACGTTGCAGAGCGTGCACTCACAGCCAACAGCGTGAGGCCGGGGGAGAGAGATGTCCTGCTTGAGCAGCATGGTCAGGATCTCGTAGTTGTTCCTGTGGGCTGCCAGGATGACTGGAGCCACATCCATGGTGGTGGAATACTCTGGATTCTGGATGCGCTGCATCAGTTTCTGACAAGAGCATGGATTTAAAAAAAATACTGTAAGTGAATTATAGAAATTGATAAACAGTTTTTGCCTTAATGGTGTTTCTTTTCTTTGAAAAAGAGTAATAACAACAGACTTACAGCAATAGAGGGCTTAGAAGATCTCCTTGGCCTGTGGTTAAGGAGAATGTCCACAGCTCCTACCACCTCTGAGTCTATGGCCACCAGCAAAGCGTCTGTTGCCTACACAGAAAGAAACGCACAATTTTAGTGATGTAAATGATGTCTTGTGTATATTATTTTACCCCTAGTCTGTGCTTGCTTGTTACCTGGCAGCCATACTCCAAGAGCAGCTGAAGGATGTCCAGATTCTCGTTCTCGATGGCGATGGTCACTGCATCTCGGCCCAGCACGTCCACACAGTTGATGTTGAGCTCGCCGTGTCTGTTCTCCTCCAGCAGTTTCTTCACCATGTAGTAGTCACCTGAGAAGCAAGTCAAGGACAAAGCAGCACAGCATAAATGAACTTGCCAAACCTTGGCAAGTTCTCACAAAGGCGGATCCTTTGAAGAAGCGAAACATTAATGTGAGCGCAGTGTCAAAACGACACGAACACACAGCGCCGGTTATCAGGCGAGCTCTTTCAGAGAACAGGCTCAGATCCAGCGGCAACCCTTAATCTTGTGTAACAATAACATCTCCATCAAAGGACAATTTCTGTTGCTGGGCCACGTTTAGGGAGACTTTATATGGTCACAGTGGCAGTTATTGGCTTAGCACACCTCTGCCTGTACAATGTTCTTAACTTATCAATGAAATATTCTCCCACCACGGGGACTAGTTGAGAAAACCCATGCCTCTTTGTTATTTTACACTTACACTGTCTACATCTTGCCTTGCTGGCATTTAGCTTGTTTGCATTAACTTTCCATGTTGGGGTTTGTGAAAAGTCAGGAGACCAGGGAGAGAAACTTAAAGTGGAGCAGACATTTAACTATTAACTGCCCCTTGGGCAAATTACCACAGCATCCAAAGTGTGGGCAGCTGTGAGTGGTATACACTGGAGTGGGGGGATCTGTAATGATTGAGTAGTTTGCCAGCTGCTAAATGAGCCTGTATGACATCTGCCATGCTGTCACTGCGTGCGCGCTCTACCTCCTATATGAGACATGTAGCTTCAGCATCCCTAATGATCACAATAACGAGCTTCCTTCAGATCGTAGTCACGTGTTGCACGGACATCCCATTGCACTGGAAACAGGGAACAACAGCCCAGATATTAAATTAGACGAAACAAGAGCCAAACCTTTCTCGCATGCCAGGAGGAAGAGCTTCTCGTCCAGAGTCGTCTCCTCTTTCACTTCTCTCACGTCTTTCAAGGCCAGGAATTTGTCCGGAGAGGAAGCGTCCGTGCCATGGTACAGAGCTGCCATTACGACGGAGAGCGAGTACGGCAAGACGCTGATGTGCATCCCACTAGAAACCGACGACCATTACACGAGAAATCCCGTCATATGCGATGACATGCGAAGAATGCTTCTGTAGTTGCGCAGCAGAGGTTTAAAGCGGCCGACTTAAACCAGTGTCAGTAATCGCTGGCATTACCGTCCCAGCTCCGGTGCGTTCGCTTTTCCCCTTTTTTCGGGGTTAAAATATCGCGTCCTGTAGCCCTTTTCGCACCATCGATCTCAAACGTGATGTTAAAAAGTGTTCACGGCGACGGCAAGTAGACGAAACAACGCGGTCATTTCTCGCGGCGTGTTTACAAGCACCATCTTCTCACTTGCATCGCAGTGGTCCTGATGCTGCTGGCGAGGCTTGCACTGCGCATGTTTCCTCCTCCACCTGCTTGATCATTTCGCAGGCGCAAAGCCTCTTCTCCGTGATTACGTAACAGTGCATCTTTGCCGTGTACAGTACACTGTGTAAATTCACAGCGTGTGAGCGTTCACTGTGACAGTGCATGCACATGTGCTGACTCTGAAGCATGAACTACACACATACAGTATGCTAAGCGGTAAAGACTGGGAGATAAACACAGAAATCAGCAATGGCCGTGGCTCCTGCTCAGGTCACTTCCTGCAGTAATGTGAAAGTCCTGATGGAAATGCTGTGTTGGGACATGCATGGGTGACATTCAGTGCACATGGATATGGATATGGCGGCATATGGGCTCACATAATCCGTGACAGACTGTTAGGAAATACATCTGGTATCCTGATTCAGTGAAATCTCTTTATAATTATGCTGAAATGTAAACGTGTCTGTGTTTAAAGCACCTTATGTCAGCTTCTGTTGTTTAAATGTTCTATAACCTATAGATGAAGTAAACAGTGATAACAAAAAAAACTTTTTCATAGTGGATTTCTTGGATATACGTTTTATTTCCAAAAAAGTATTTAACACAGTGATGAATAGAAACAAAGTCCTATTGCACTAATATCTGATACTATCATTGTTTTCGAGACTTTTGCTATTGGAATCAATCCACCCACTTTTAACAACCTGCAAAGAATATTGCTAAGAAATGCTGCAACCAGTGAAGGAAAGGGTTTAATATGGACTGGAATACAGTTTTAGGGAACATGTACTTCATTCAGTTCAAGTGAAATCAAAAGAAAACACAAAATGTAACAAGCCTTCACATCCAACTCAATAAGCCATAATGAAGTGACAGTGAGTCAGCATGCTTAGTGATAAAGCACTGATAATTAATGCTCAGCTCTCTTATGCAGGCCGAGTTAAGACCAAGATTATTATTATTACATTTTAAATCAGATGTCATTAAAGACGACCTTTGGTTTTTCTATAATTGTAACACAGTTGGCTTCTAAAATGTAGAAAGGTCTTTGTTTCTTTCTTTTTTTAAATAAGAAATTTGTGAATATTAAATATCGGCTTGCAAATCCTCACCACACACATTTCTGATGATGTGAGCCAAATATATTACTTTACTCACCACGCTCAGCACTTCCACTGCCAAACAGAACGAATACCATGCACTGAAACAGAAGTAATTTCCTGGGCGGGTTTCTGTCACAGTGAATACATGTTGAAAATAGGGCGGGGAGGAAAACGTGCACTTTCAGTATTCTCTTCACTATTTGACTTGATACAAGAAAAACACATTCAATGACGGGCTCTTTGCTTTCCAACAGCACCGAATCCTAATATAGCTTTTGTTTTATGAAGTTTTATAAACATCTGTAAAATGCAGGTGGAATGAAGCGGTTGCACAGTAGGAAAGGTTTCATATTAACAACAAGCTTCCTTATAAAAGAATAAGATTAAAAGATTTTTCTTAAACTAAGCTCTATTATCTATATGCTTGCACACTGAAAAACGAATATAAATTAGTATGTCATATGTATTTGTTCATGATGTGGAAGTCTGCTGTTCGTTTTGAAGGGTGGGACCTCAATGCTCCAGCAGAGGGCAGTCTGCACAAAGGTATTTCGCTGTAGACACCCGCATTGGCTGAGAACAAAAATAAAAATGAAGATATATTGAAAGCACACGTTACCGAGAACAGGAAGGAAATACTGTATAGCCAACACAAAGCCTAATATGTCGCACTTCAGAAGGACTCACACCACGCACAGCACTTGAGCGGGGCTTGATGAGAAACAGTATAGTAAAATCACAACGTGGATATTACCCTACATATTTAGAGGTTCCTCGCTGGGGAGGGTCAAGGGACTCGAGCGGTTTCAATTCATTCAGTCTATGCTCTCCCCACCCCGCTTGTTCAAGGTTGTAATCCCGCACAGGCAAGCCTCTTAGGAAAGATGATTTTCAATCTGCAGAGCATGTGTTTCCCTTCATACAACATCATGGCCTTTCCAGTTCCTGGGGAACAGCTGTCAAATGTCCCATTTCAGCTGATTCCACTTGAGAGGAGTGCTTGTCACTGCCGCTGAGTGTTTCTATCACGTCCAATGAAAAATTATGACATCCTCTACAATCATGCTGAAGGCCATCACTCTCAGATCAGTTTAAAATTCAAGTGTTTCTATTTTTCATTTTATTAGATAAATAATTCGGCGGTATGTTCATAGCTCTTTTGTAATGAAACAGGGTTTTTCTTTGCTGCTTTTAAGACAAACCCCGGGTTACCCTCTTGTGGCTGTCGTGAGGGGGGGGGCTAATACATTTAATCTGAAATATTGATTCTCTCCTGCAGTCACGCACGATGAGGACGACGTGCTTAAAAGGAAAAGTAAAGACCGGCTTTGGAATAAAATCACGGCCTTAAGACTTTTATTAAAGAAATACTAAAAATAGGTTGTATATTGGAAAAAGGGAACAAAAACAAAACAAAACAGAAAACTGCTAATCGCTTTCAGTGGGTACAAACGAGAGGCTGGAGCACGGTTCAGACAATGTGAGGTGGACTTCACCTAAACATAACAACAGCACCACCACCATCCATCCCCCATGCCCTCCTCATCTACCGTTGCTGTGATCTGTCGGAGCCACCATTAACGTGACAGGCTCGCAGCAGATCCAATGACGTAAGCTGGCTGACGAGCGTCGACTCGTCGCGCTCCAATGCGCTCTCTCGGAGGGCGGGTCTTGGTCCTGCTATTCAGATTGAATCGGCCCAGTTTGTATTAGTTGGACGAGCAGAAGAACGAGACGGAGAAACGTGTAAGAGCCCTAACTGCGGATAAAAGCGTTTCTCTGCTCCATCATGGCAGCTGCGGAGTAATTTAGAAGATCCGGCCCGTCGCGCGGAATCGTGACCGACGCCCGAATCCACCGCATTTCTGAGGATGTTTCAGCTGGTAACTGCGCGAGGATGCTTCCGCTGAACGTGCCCAAACTGGGCGTCTGTTACAATGCTGAAGGCTTCTTGGTTTTTGTTTTGAACGCGGGCCAAACACAGAATCACTGCAAAGCCTGATATGGACAACTTTAACGCTCCTCTCTTCTGCCATTTCTATGACGAACATTGCGCAGTGCAGTGAAAAGGCTATATCGTTTAGTGGCTGTCGAACTGGTGCCGAATACATTACCTAATTCATCTCGGTGTTAATTCCCGGTGCAGCCCATAAACACACTACCGAGCGTGTTGGTGCACAGTCAATGTAAGGAGCTTCGTCCAGCGGTGAGAGCCACTCTCCGAGGGTACAGATGCGAGGCAAACAATATCATCAACCACTGAAGTTGACAGCGCCTTGGGAGAAGGATGCGGGCTTTGGAAGGAAGCTTAAAACATACAGGAATCATACCAAGATAATAGCACAGCCTGGGATCGTGATGAAAGTGCTACGCAGGAAGAGGATTGTGTTATTTATGGCCTATTTGTTACTGCTCGTGCTCACTATGCTTAACTTGGCTAATTATAAATGGACTAAGGAGCCGCAGCAGTGTAATCATCAGATGAGGAGCACCACTTATCAGAGCAGATCTGACATTCGCTTCCTGTACAGGCCCTCGCTGGCTAAGAAGAGGCAGCTTATCTATGTGCTGACCACCTGGAGGTCAGGCTCTTCCTTTTTTGGGGAGCTGTTTAATCAAAATGCAGATGTGTTCTTCTTGTATGAGCCAATGTGGCACATCTGGCAGAAACTGTACCCCGGTGATGCCGTGTCATTGCAAGGGGCGGCCAGGGACATGCTTAGCTCCTTATACCGCTGTGATCTGTCTGTTTTCCAACTTTACAACAGCCCGGGAGGTAAGAATTTCACCTCCCTCGGACTGTTTGGGGCCACCCTCAATAAAGTGGTGTGCTCATATCCCCTCTGCTCAGCCTATAGGAAGGAGGTGGTGGGGATGGTGGATGATAAGGTGTGTAAAAAGTGTCCCCCTCAAAGCCTTAGACTGTTGGAGGAAGAGTGCCTGAAATATAGCACCATAGTCATTAAAGGGGTCCGCATATTGGATGTAAATGTGCTGGCCCCGCTCATGGAGGATCCGTCCTTGGATTTGAAGGTGATACACTTGGTTAGAGACCCACGGGCAGTAGCCAACTCCAGGATCAAATCCAGACACGGCCTCATACGGGAGAATTTACAGGTGGTCCGCAGCAGAGACCCCAAACTCCGGCGGATACCTTTCGTGGACCCCGGGCACAAAGCTAACAAGAAGGATGGCTCAGACTACCACTCCATTGGAGCCATGGAGGTGATCTGCGACCGTACCTCCAGGACTTTGAGGACTGCCTTAAACCCACCCAGCTGGCTGAAGGGGAAGTACATGGCCGTACGTTACGAAGACCTGGTCGAAAACCCAGTTAAGACCCTGAGGAGCGTCTACCGCTTTGCCAACCTCACTACCAACCATGACATTGAGATGTTTGCTTTGAACATGACCAGTGGCTCCAGTTCCTCATCTAAGCCATTTATAGTCTCCTCCAGGAATGCCACACAAGCTGCAAGTGCATGGAGAACAGTGCTCAGCATCCAACAGATCAAACAAGTGGAAGACTACTGCCACCACTCCATGTCAGTTCTAGGTTACGAGAGAGTGAGAACAGCCGGGGAGGCTAAGGACTTGAGCAAATCACTACTGACACACTCCAGACTGTGAAAACATCCTCACCACCAAAGACCATTTAATTTAATGTTAATTTTGCATAGAGTGCCATTTCCTTATATTGTGGAAATAAAGCTTTACTTTAAGTCAATGTTCCTGGATCTACATCGGCCGCATTTGGAATGTACCGTCAGTCGAGCAGTTGCAGCTCCGTTGAAAAGGACCACTTCTTTTATACCGGAACACCAGACGGGACCTTAGATCTTGACACTGCAACGTCTAAGAACAATTGACTCAAAGCTGCAACTTTCAGAGAAAAAAAAAAAGGAAAAAGAAGCTACTGTATAATTCATGTATCTTGTTATGATGACACTTCAAAGTGGATGTTTTGGGGATATTTTTTGAATGTTCAAAAGAAAAAAAAA